CACACACAGACAACCCCTCGACAATATGCGTTTTTTCATTGCATAGATGCAAAAAACGCATAAAAAATGGGTTCTGGAATTTCAGTTTCCTGCACTAAGCGGATTCAACGGCTTGCTCCAAAAATTTGACTACTGTATGACGTGTAGCAGCGGCCATTCATATTATATTATTAAAATTTCAGGATGGAGTACAACGTGGGTCAGAAGTTTTGGTGCTATTCAAATGCTAACTTGAATCATCATGATAAAGTTTTGTATATCTAAGAATTCAACAACTCCGGTATTCTCAAATCAATGCAGAAACGCACAAACGCCCCTACATCCCGTTGCAAGCTGCAGTTAATTCCTTATAATAAATCTACAGCTTTTAGCAATCAGTACAGTTCAGATCAATAAGGGTCATGGCTCCGCTGCCATGCAGTGTTTCTGGCAAATGCTCGTTCGTTTCCGGATAAATATACAGATAAATAAAGCGAAAAATAATAAATGAAAAGCAATACAAACCAGCGATTGGCGGGCCGATTAAAGCTGCAACACCCATGCAAAGCATCATCATCCCAAACGCATTTGGAAGCTTTTCCAGACCAAGCAGTTCAACACAGATGATTGAACGCAGTGCCGAAAAACACGCTGCAAACAGTAACATTTCTGACTGCATTCAAGGGACGACAGATAGCGGGGTGTTCAGCAGGGCCAGTACGATCGTGCTTTTTGCGATTAACTGCTGTAGTTGCTGCAGTTGAAATAAAACGTACAAATAAATTCATTATTCATAATGTAATCTTTTAGAACATTTGATGGTTTTCCACCAAAATTCTAAATACTCTGCAGACACAGCATGAACCTGAGGTGAATGCTGAGAACATAGCAGTATCTGAATGATTGGTTACGGAGTTTACCCCATATCATCTGGAGAATCACAAACTCAAGATATTGAGTTGCTGAGCTATTTTAGAGTTACAGCATTTGCACAACCCACATAGTAACGCGAACCACACTTGCCAGTGTGAACCTGCGTCTTGCGCGAACCTTGAAGCAATCAAACCGCCAACAGTATGAATGATTGTTGCTTTACAGCACAGATGGCCAACCGGCGGCCCGCGAAGGGAATCGGAACGTGGTGCCTAGCCAGAAAAATGGGGGTTTGTACTCCGTGGCGCCATTGCATTCGCATGAAAATAAATTGCGGCGTGCACCAGGGTAGCCGGTACGACCATGCGTTTTGTGCACCTTCGCCCATCAACGTTTGCCTAGGATTTTCACTGCTTCGCAGCTTGTTCTGCGCAAAAACAGATGAAAATAACCTGGTTCCTAAGTTGCGAAATTTCTTACGAAAAATCTCACGTATTGATAAATGGAAGCTGAATTTGAAACTTTGGGCGATGAACACCTTTCCAAAATTTCAACTTCCTAATTTTACGGCTTTCGAGTGATGTTTTTGCCAACTTTCACGTGGCCGTGCGTGAGATCTCGGTGTACTTGGGGAATAAATTTGACTTTGTGAGGCCCTTGCACAGGCAGAAAACATCCTCGTGAAATTTTCAGCCTCCTAGCTTTTCCCATCAAAATTTTCACGGACCGTATTTGATTCCCGGGTGAGCGGGAAGGTTGATTTTAAATATGCGAGATCATATTTAGGCAGGAATCATTACTCTGAAGGTTTAGCTCCCTAGCTTTCATGGTTCCTGAAACAATAATTTTCCCCGCCAAAGCTTTCACAGGACGCATGCAGTACCCAGACGTAGACGAAAGCTGAATTTGAGGTTGCGAGGCTGTACTTGAGCACGGGACATTACCGTAAAATTTCAGATTTAGCTTTTATGGTCCCTAACACAATTCCTCTGCCAAAATTTTCACGGGGCCGCAATAATATCCGAGTGCGCGGGAAGGCTAAATTTATATCTTCGAGGTGATACTTGGGCAGAAGTTATTATTCCGAAAGTGTAGCTTCCTAGCTTCCACAGTTCTGCAGATAATAATTTTCCCCACCAGAACTTTCATGGGGCCGTACGCAGTACCTGGGGACAAGGGAAGGATGAAATTAAATATTGGGGGGAG